GCGGGCCACGTCACCATTTCAACGGAGAGGCTCAAGTCAAAGACTTTATCCACACTTTGCTCCATTACGGTGGCTACAACGAAATGGCAGACATTCTCGTCAATCTCACTTCTTTAGCGACCGAGATGGGTCGGCTTGTGTCGGAAGGCTATGTTTTGACTGTCTTGGCTCCAAATGATGAAGCTATGGCTAAGTTGACCACTGACCAGTTGAGCGAACCGGGAGCTCCTGAGCAAATCGTGTATTACCACATCATACCGGAATACCAAACCGAAGAGAGTATGTATAATTCGGTACGTCGATTTGGGAAAATCCGGTACGATTCACTTCGGTTTCCTCATAAGGTGGAGGCTCAAGAGGCAGATGGTTCGGTTAAGTTCGGCCACGGTGACGGTTCAGCTTATTTGTTCGATCCTGATATTTATACCGATGGACGGATTTCGGTTCAGGGGATTGACGGCGTTTTGTTCCCGGAGGAAGAAACTCCGGTCGAGAAGAAAACCGCCGGTCCGGTTGTTAAGAAAACCGCTAAACCAAGAAGAGGTAATCAATTTTTAACAAATCTCTAGCCTTTTAATTTTGGTCCCTAGCTATTTGATCTTGACATTTTAACCTCAAATTATATAATCTTAGTCAAATAAGTTGCTTAGGGAATTTTGTGTGTGGTTTTGCCATATATAATAGAAAAGATAATTGAATCATCATTATAGAAAGGTAATTCTGATTGGTCATATAAAATTAGTCTTTCAATGAGAGAGTACTAAAGTAAACAATGTGAGAATGGAGACAAAGTCTTTCTAACAAACTTTGGTATGATAATATATTTTTCATAATTTGAGTTTATAACTATTTAATTATCCACCGACGAAGAATCCCATGTTTTAGAGTAAAAAATTGAAAACCACAAAGTGCTCCTTTTCTTTTTCAAAAGCCAAGCTGTGAATGATTATTTATATTTCTTCTAAATATATTTATTTAAACGTTAGTTAGAATTAATAATTTTGAAAAATTCGTCCTTGATATTATTGTTGTTAATTCAGTACATTGACACTAGAAAAACAAACTAATGTTTGGAAAATAATACTAATCTTTAATTAGTTTTATATCATCTTGCAGGTAAATTGATGGAGGTAGCATGTACAATGCTGGGGTCGCAATTCTACACATGTCAATGAGAATTCACTCGTGCCCAAATTGAGTCCGGACATGAGAATTTTATAATTCTGTAAACATTTGATAAAAAAAAAATTGAACAGAAAAAAGTAATAATGTAAATGATTAATTATTTGGCTCGTTGCAATATGAATGTTAAATC